TAACTTCACCATGGTTCAATTTTTGATATTTCTAAATTATTTCGAAGCAGAGTTGTTCGTTCCTCACATTTATCACATCTGCAATATGCTGAATGACAAGAATCTTGTTAAAACGTAACAATTTTTTAACACTTTGACTTTAAATATAAAACTATAGATAAAATGCACAAATAGAAGCACGTTGTAAAGTATGATAAATTTTATCATCATTTTTATTGGAACTTTTGTCTTGTCTAAGTATGCAGATGATGTCATCACGCAGATGCAAACAAAAAACTTGAAAGTGATTTTAATATAATTTTAATATGTGGTAGAAACATTCCTGTTTGGACCTCTGTCAGTTTGGAGGCAGTGGCCTTATTCTGGCGACATAAATCGCAAAATTATTCATTTCCAAAATGTAAACATACGAGTATGTCAGTGCGGTTTTGGGACTTCTTTCTGGGCCAACTATACTAAAGCGAATGGGATAGATTATATTTTTCTTATATGCTTCGTTTTCATCGTTACATAGATATGTTTGTTACGCGTTTTGTTACAGTCTAATAGATTCTAGTACATTTGTTACGTTTTGTCATTGTAGTCTCGTTTGCATTGTAACATGCCGTTTGTGAAGTTTTCTTGTTGTTTTCTTGTTATTATCGTAATATAGATACGTTTGTAACATCTTCTTCTCGTAATTTCATTTTCAATGTTACAACTTAATACATGTAAATGTGAACATAATATTACCATTCACAAACGCATTCGTTTTCTGATGAAAACGTGACTTAAATAAACCCTGTTTCGATGAAAGCGATGCTAAGCAAACTTAGAGCTGAAAACGAGGCTACAGTAAGAAAACGTCACAAACGTATCTATGAAACAATGAAAATGAGGCTAAAGAAAAAACATCCCAAACGCAACCGTGTAACGACGAAAACGAGGCAACAATAAGAAAACGTCACAAACGTAACCATGTCAGTTTTAAAACGAGGCTACAATATCAAAACGTCAAAAACGTGAGCATGTTTCAATTACAATAAAACGAGGCTACAATAAGAAAACGTCACAAACGTATATATGTTGTCATATAATATAACCCTTTAATGATTTATCTAACGACAAATTGGATGTATAATTCAAACGATATTTGAATTATTCTGAATTTGTCGCACACAAGAAAAAATGAACATTCGGTACATGCTTATTGAATTATAATTATTAATACATGTGTATACATCTAGATATCTCATACACACGATCTTATGTCTGGTTGCTTTTGAAAATATTATGACATAAGTCATGGAGGATATTCAAGTGTTTTCTATAAATACAGGATTTATTTTCATCTAGTGGCAAGACAATAATTATTTTATTAGTGGCGGTAGCCATGAATGAAATATGATAATTTCCATACCACAAGATGATAATAAATCCTGTATTTATAGAAAAAAACTTGAATTTTCTGTTTATCATATAGATTTCTCTTCTTTTTTTTTGACATTACAATTTGAAAGAATTCTCCTTAAATTATGTGTTTGGTCTGAATTTAGAAGAAAGTAGTCCGACAAGACAGCATGGAAAATACGGAAAATATATTTCACTACAGTGAAAAATAGCTTTTTACAGTGAAAATACTAAAATTGAAAATACGCATTTTATTTCATCAGTATTTCTCAATATTTCACTTATAAGTATATGATAAACAAATTTCTTTTTGGCTTGATTTTTAGTTTCTCTATTTTTTTCATGGGTCAGCCTATAACCTCTATATGTAAACGGATAAAAGAATACCTCTATTTATTTATTTTTATTCATTTTTGTATTTATTTATTTATCTAATTGTTGTTGTTTTCTAGTGGGGGAGTAAGCAGTTGACAGTAGGCAATTGACAGTAAGCAGTTGACAGTAAGCAGTACGCAGTTAACAGTAGGCAGTAGCTAGTCAGAAGTAGACAGTAAGTTGGCTGTCGTTTATGGAATTCATGTTATAGTCCATGCATTTATTAATTTATCAGTGAATTCCTTTAAATGTTGTTCTAAGAATATATATGTACCTGTAAACTATTAAAGTAAATAAGGAGGCAGAAAAATACCAAGGGTCCAACCGGGTTTTGAACCACAAACCTTTTGGTCCGTACACGGACACCTCAACCACGTCGTTAAAGGGTTAATCTAACAGCAAGGCTGATGGAAGTGGTCTATATACCTACAACCAATACACTCCCCCCTCTTTACTTTTCAGAGCTAGCCAGCTCTCCTGAATGTCACTCCCTGCTTACCGCATGAGTCCGTCAAACACTTCTGACACCATTTAAGTAAATAAGAAGGCAGAAAAATACGAAGGGTCCAACCGGGTTTTGAACAACAGACCTCTTGGTCCGTAGGCGGACACCTCAACCACATCGCTAAAGGGTTTACCCAACATCAAGGCCTATATAACACTGCACTATATTGTGCATGACCTCCAGAACGGCAACTTTTTCGGCAACAGAATAATTTTTTGACCAATACAGTTGTAATAGATCGTCAATTTTTATTTTAATGCTATAAGCAGTGAATAATAAGTAGTAAGTCGTAAGCAGTTGACAGTAAACAGTTGACAGTAAGCAGTAGGCAGTCAACATTTCCAATAGTATATTGATTCATTAATATTCCCAACGAAATATTGAGATAAATATAAAAAGTAATGAAAGTATAACAATTCTGTCTTAAACCTTAATCAATACACCGCATAGTTACGAATATCGATCAACAGATCAATTGGCTATTATTTAATACTTAGATGTAGTAAAGCCTATCTAGTCGGATTATGAATAGGTATAATATAAAATATATATTAAGATATAGTTCCCCCTTAGCATTAACAAGCGGTTTGCTCAGTTATGTCAAATTATATATGTAAAATTTACATGTATATCCAAATGTTTTGTTGATGCATTTTGTGAGAAAGACATTCTCACACCTGGTACGTGGTTGAGAACCAAATCCATCCCTTTTGTCAAAAACAGTTTCTATGGCCATATAAGGTTTTTGCCATAGACCGCGAAATACAACTTTTGTTTGGTTACTAGGATATGTTTTCATGTGTTAATGGTATAAACTTTAAATGTTTTAACACTTACTTTTTGTCTCAGTTTCATCTGTTACTTTCCTACCAAGTGCGACATTTAGCGTCAAGGGGTTGCGACATTTAGCGGCAATCGATTTTTGTGCGACATATATCGGCAACGTTGCAACATTTAGCGGTAGGCGATTGCGACATATAGCGTTGATTGCGACGTATAGCGTCAGCGTTGCGACATTTAGCGTTAGTTGCGACATATAGCGGCGTTGCGACATATAGCGTTGCTACAAACAGTCGTCATGCCTGCTGGTATGTCATTTATAAATGGTTTTTAGGTTTTTCAAAATTTGCATGATTAACAATCCGAATGTAGACCTCAATGAAATGTTCTGTAATATTAACAAAATGAAAAGTCAACCATATTAACCATATATATGAATGGTTGAACGATAAATAGCCCAATGTGCATATCTTCTTTTTTAACAGCACATTTTAAGCAAAAAGAAAAGAAACAATAAGTCTGAAACATTCTGTCATAGCCTCCCCATCAGTACATTCAGTGCTTTGATTGCTGATAAATGTATGCTTGAGTACTGTAAATTGCAGCCTTTAACTGTAAACACTGATAAAATAAAAATTGTTATATTTTCTCGAGCTAAATTAAGATGTAAGTCTGTATTTTCTTTCAATAATACGCCGCTAGAAGCTGTTGATGATTTTAATGGTAAATTTGATAAAACAAAAAAGCACTTGACAGATCAAGCTTGGAAGGCCGTATTTAATATTTTATAATTAACTATTTAAAAGAAAAACACCAAAAAACCCCCAAAAAACTGTGATTGCCAATTTATATTCAGTTACAGTTGATTCACAGTATGGTCAAACCAATTAATATCATTGTATGGGTCGGAGGTGTGGGGATATGAAACTATAAAAAATGCTTCAATACAGATCAAACTGGCACAAATGTTGACTGGATCATAGCCTTTATAACAGCATACTCAATGTAAAATTCCTTGTTACCGTGGCAACGGGGGACGTCTCAAAATTGCCAAAAATCAATGCGTGTTTTTTTTTTCACCAACACTGATTTTCAATGTGCTGCAACTTCTAAATGGATTGAGACAGAGTATAAGGATTTTCAGCGTTGGTTACATGTTACTTTGAGACCGACCTTAGCTCACTCCCAGCCTCTCACAAGATTGCCTTGGCGATGTTGGGGCATACTCCCTCCTTCAACCCCCCTCCCCCAAACAGAAGAGGACACGTCCCCCATCTTGCACTCCCGTGAGGTACCATTTTTATAGGTGGCGGAGCCGAAAAGTGGTCATTTCTTAACAACATTTCTCAAACGAAAAACAGTGTTTGGGGGCCTAAATAGGGCATTTATTTCAGTATTTGATGCCTCAAAAGAGGATGGGTGAAAACCCGTATGAAGGAAAAAGTTAACCAAAATTGGTGAAAACCCTTGGAATTACCCAAAATCGAGTTTTCCATGAAAACACGTTGTTGTTTTATGGTATTGTCATACCTTCTGATCAACAGATTATAAATTGTTGGGCCATATACCTCCATGGTATTAACGTGAGTTATAGCCGTCATAATAACGCATGTAAAATTTTAGATGTTTGCAAGTGAATAAATTTGACGTTGAAGAAAACTCCTCAACTGACTTACAGTAAATACCGTATATCAAGTACATCCATCAATTTATGAGATATAACCAGTCCTTATTCATTCAACTTGAAATAGTAGGTGACAGTTGCATAACTTCTTCTCACGTTACTCTAGTGGCAACTAAAATCCGGATGAAACTGACTTTCTTCCGTCATCGTTGTTTTTGTTATAAACCTCATATATTAATACTTTTTACAGCGTTTTTAATAACATTTTCAAATAAAACTAAACTATTTTTAAAAATATAGAATCTACATACAACTAATCATACAAAACAGTCTTAAACTTTGTATTTGCTTATGTTTCTTCGTGCATTTACTGTTGTACTAATAAACTTGGTAAATGTAACTGAATATAACGCATATCATCAACAGCAACATTCTTTATATATCTTTAACATCGCATGATTTTGACAAAAATATAGCAAAAGTAACTATTAACATAAAATAATTAATGATAGATGATTATTTAATGAATGATCTTAAGAATATGTTCAAAACAGGAATCAGTTTCTTTCTGCAGACCATGGGAATTTTATAACATGTAACAATAAACGGGCATACGTTAATAAAATAGTAGTTTTCACGTGCACACTAGCAACTGATTAAGATGTTCACTTTGTTAATGATGCTGTTTCAGAAAAACTGTTATTGTTCAATATCACTGCCGTCTTGGACGACGTCATTTCCTGTATATTTACTGTTTTCCGTTTGCATTGACGGGCATCTTCTTAAATTCCTCTGTTTCCCGATATTTCTTTAGGTTAGGTCGTGAAGCCATGCGATCGTAGTAAGCTTTGAGTGTCGGTAATGCGTCTAGGCAGGTAGGGGACAATATTAGAAGAATGTCGAGTAGATCAAAAAGAATATAATCAGCAAATGATATCTGAAAAAAATGAAGATTAAATTATGAAAAAAAAAAAAAAAAAAAAAAAAAAAAAAAAAAAAACAGTATATAACAAAATTATTCAATAGAGTTTAATAAGTTCTAATGACTTACATTGTATATCGAAAATTTCATGGATCACCATAATGATGTACATTTGTGAATAAATATAATATTAGTTGGCAGAACACTCGAGATTCCTCTGTGTGCAGCAAAGTCTACTTGCATTTGTCACCAAACAAGGGTGATTTCGTATTTCTCAACTAGCATGTCAGAATGGCTTTCCGTAAAGAATTTGAGTGCTCAAAATGCGCAATTCTTCATCATGTTTTACAATTTTGTGATTTTGTTTTACTTATTTTGTACGAAATACCATTGAATTTTTAGTATTTCCAATATCAATCATTATTTAATCATTACTAACACTTGGATCCTCTGCTCATATAGCATTCCTTTAAAACTTTTCTAATTGTAAACAGACATTTTTTGAGCCTCTTCAGTCATGCCAATATTTCTTCGGTGTATAAATGCATTTAGCAAGTTGATATTTGAAACTCAGTCCTTTTTGTGCACTGCGATAATCCTTTTGAGAAACTTATATTGGCATTTAGCAATTCAGATTTCAAATTTTTCCTACATCAGTTTCTATCTTGCCTTATTATTGACAATATTCAGATTGATCAAACACCAATCTCGCAGTAACATTTAAGTTGTATCTAAACATATGACAACAAGAGGACCGCATGTGGTGTTAACACTCGTCTGTTACAACATCTAAATTAAAAAATGCATTACTCCAAAAATATAGTTTAAAGAATAATTTGCGGATACCGAATTCTTTTTGTTGGTAACAGTACATTTGTATTACTTCCATACAGTGGCGAACACTCTAAGGTGTGTTTTTTCTGTAGTTCGAAAATTATCCTAACAAATCGTCAAAGAAAAGAAAATCGCAAAATGCAAGTAATCAAAACATACCTTCGTTGTAATGTATTCAGTCCCCCACTTTTTGAACAGGTTCTAAAAGAGCAAAATAAGTCTGTATATTAATCCGATTAAATAATATAATAAACATATAACATATTTAAAAAAAAATCAAGCATGATGAAAAGTACAGCGGTATTCTGGGTATGACAAATTAAATTGTGACAAAGTAAGACAAAAGAAGACAGTTTAGGCTTGCTGATGCACGGAGGTTCCAGCTGCCAGTCCACACATTATTACTAAAATCGAAAACAAGCATAAAAGTGTAACTAAAACACATACCTCGATATACCCCAGTTTTTCGGGAAGACTTTTCACATAGTCATCTTTTCCATTTTCCTGAAGAAAGAAGAGAAAATACTTTTAAGCCAATCTTATTTCTGAAAATTACCATGAATATACACACAGAAATGTTCATTAACATGTAATAAGGTTTTACATCAGGCCAGAAGATCCTTGTAAATTTCACAAACATACTGACCCCATCACTGGTGGTTGGGGATGGCGAGGAGTAACGTTGGAAATTAACTACATTTTCCCGCACAAAGCCGAGCTATTATGGTTTGCGCCTTTGACATCTCTTAAATGAATACACGTATTTTATTTCAAAAGAGTATTTGTATAGAATTGAATGTGATATGGATCAAATCACGTGTAATTGTAATTATATAAAGCAGGGAATATCTTCACTTTGCAGTGTGAGGACATTTAAAGGAAGTGCTACACTATCTGACAGTCCTCAACGGTGATTTATTAAAAACTGTCATTTAAGTGTAGTTCCAAAATAAACTGAAGCTGTATAACACAGACTTTGTTCTTATCTACGATGGTTATATATGTGAGCAGAAAAACAGCGTCAGCTCCGGACCAATTAAAGTCAATGATTCAATTAAAGCAGCTAGTGATAAAATGTACCGTTTAAACGAAAGTTTCGTTTGTAAGGCCTAAACAAATTAAACAAACTAAGATAAGCTTTGAAAGATAGTGTAGCTGTCCCTATTTTATGTTCTCAAACTTTACCCCTAAATCCGTCCTTCGTAAAAATCAATCACATCTTAGGTTAAAATATGTTACTTAATGTTCTCTTGAAGGAAACTTTGACACGCAGAATGTAAAACATGTATGTCACATAGATTAGAAGGAAATTAAGGCAGGTAAATTATAGCTATACATGATTTGGTTAAATAAGAATTGAGAAAAACAGAATCACCAAAAGAACGCCCAAAACGGCATAGGTGAAAATGACGCAGACTCAGGTTGATTGAGTCTGTCCATGGACGCAAGTGGTGACTGCAAGCTTCGGACCACATACCCCTAACGCACCGACTGAAGCAAATAGTTAACATTAAACATGGCATGGTTAAATTGAATTAAGGAAACACCCGCAGATTTGTTTTTCAGTCTGCAATTTTTAGGAACCTGCAATATGACAGGTTCGTGCCATTCCATGAAAAGCTGCGAATGTTCCCCAAGTAAAACAACGCGTGTGCCCTAAACGAGAAAAAAATTAATGGGCTAAACTTAATAAAATAGAAGTCATACGAAACTCTTTAGGTCATTTAGCGGAAATACCATTTCAAGCTCGGGTTGAGATACTGATGCTAATACTGAACTTTTAACCAGTCGAAATCGGTATAACTATAATAATGTGATCGGTATAAAATAGCTGGATCTACTAGTAATTAAATTGTTGCATGGTTCGACCATATGATAGAGGATAGAGGAGGACTATTATGAAAGAGTCGGTGCTATTTCTAAATTGGGATATTTATTCAACCCTGGTAGATTTGCTAGACCACATAAACAACGGACTTGTGCTTCTCGTGAAATATTGCCCGTATATTGTCACTTCGGCAGAATATGAAAAGCAAGATGAACGAGGAAAGAGCGGCATACAAAGAACGCATACCCCAACATAGGACCATCGGCAAGCAGCCTAGGAAACCATACAATAATCCACAAACTTTTTTTTTTACATTTTCAAATCCTTTTTTTTCAGTTGAAAGCAAAATGTTACGTACATAATTTTGATAGATCATTCTAACATACGGGCCTCTGATGTCCTCTATGTGATCGGTGATCATATCAACTTTGGCTGCCTCTTGTAAATCACTCGGGTACAGTCCTGTGTAGAAAGAAAGTAAACATATGATATTTTCCAAACAAAACTTAATTAAAGAGACTAGTCCGTCTGAAAATCCACACCTGAGAAGGTCCATTTTCCGTATTCTAGCTTAATAGCTTTGTAATACGAAATAATTCGCCTTGGAAGATTTCAAACTCACAGCCAGGGTCAAAACTTGCGACTTGATGTCAGAGAGGAGGCCAGACGAATCAAAATGTCTAAAGCAGAATTACACTAGATTCATGATTTTTCATGATTTTTTTGAAAATGTATTTAAAAGTAAAATATTGTGAAGTGGACAAAGAAAGTAATTTGTACATTGCAAACGCCAATTTGTACATTGTAAACGGCACTTACAATCCACATAAATTACTAAAAAGTGGTCAAAATATATAAAAACTAGAAATGTGTCCATAGGACACTGATGCCCCCACACGCCACTGTTCTGTCAATCTTATGACTCTAGGTCAAATATTTTTTGGACTACATGTGCCACAAGTTGAAAACTAAAAATCAACAAAGGGCCATAATTCTGTTAAATTTGGTCGCAGCAAAAAATCCTTCCTTTACTACCATCTACACATTAAGGTTGTTAATCCCTGGAAGTTTAAGCAAAATCTGCCATCCGGTTTAAGAGGAGTTGTGTTCACAAAATTTTTATATAGTATATATTGAAAAATCAACAAAGGGCAATAATTCTGTTAAATTTGGTCGCAGCAAAAATTCCTTCCTTTACTACCATCTACACATTAAGGTTGTTCATCCCTGTAAGTTTAAGCAAAATCTGCCATCCGGTTTAAGAGGAGTTGCGTTCACAAAATTTCTACATAGTATAGAGTGAAAAAATCAACAAAGGGCCATAATTCTGTTAAATTTAGTCGCAGCAAAAATTCCTTCCTTTACTACCATCTACACATTAAGGTTGTTCATCCCTGGAAGTTTAAGCAAAATCTGCCATCCAGTTTAAGAGGAGTTTCATTCACAAAATTTCTACATAGTATATAGTGAAAAAATCAACAAGGGGCCATAATTCTGTAAAATTTGGTCGCAGCGAAAATTCCTTCCTTTACTACCATCTACGCCTTAAGGTTGTTCATCCCTGTAAGTTTAAGCAAAATCTGCCATCCGGTTTAAGAGGAGTTGCGTTCACAAAATTTCTACATAGTATATAGTGAAAAAATCAACAAAGGGCCATAATTCTGTTAAATTTGGTTGCAGCGAAAATTCCTTCCTTTACTACCATCTACACATTAAGGTTGTTCATCCCTGTAAGTTTAAGCAAAATCTGCCATCCGGTTTAAGAGGAGTTGCGTTCACAAAATTTCTACATAGTATCTAGTGAAAAAATCAACAAAGGGCCATAATTCTGTTAAATTTGGTCGCAGCGAAAATTCCTTCCTTTACTACCATCTACACATTAAGGTTGTTCATCCCTGTAAGTTTAAGCAAAATCTGCCATCCGGTTTAAGAGGAGTTGCGTTCACAAGATTTCGGGACGTACGGACGGACTGACTGACGGACGGACGGACGGACAAGTGCAACGCTATATGCTCCCACATTGTGGGGGCATAAAAATACCTTATGCAAAATCAGTCATTAATTGCACACAACATGTAAACTATTACTTGCATCTTACATATTTTTATTTTTCTTAAAATCTTAGAACAAGTTTCTCAAGATTTGTTTCTGAAAACATATTTGCCCATCATGCATCCATAACTATGCTAAATATATTGTAACAATATCTTACCATGTTTTCTCCCCAGATGACGCATAATGGTGTTCGACTGGGCCACTTCAAAGTCGCCATCTTTCAATAAAGGCGATTGACCAAATGGCTGGAAAAATAAAACACATAATTCACAAAGACATATTCAGAAAGAGGAAAGTCATGTAACAAGTTTGCAGCAGTTGCTTAATATGTAAAATTTGACAAAAAGTTGTCGATTAAACCAAGATTTTAATAGAAATTTAAAACCAATCATGAATGATGTTGAAACCACCAGTCAACCAATACATGCATACGGAAATAAAAATAGCTTTGAATTTGGAATTATTCCTTTATTCATTCAATTATTATATTATTTAATTATTCCATTAATAAATCATTTCCTGTTGTGGAGAAAAAAACAACATATAACTACTTGACCAATTCCGTTGCCAAATTGATTTTGTACAAATATAGAGGATCTTCTTTACATGTTTTAAGTTTTAAATTTCTAACCAAAGCAACATGACCAGGAGAATTGGCATTGTTGATGGTTTGATAGTTGGACCCTAGAAAAAATGGTTTGTCGCCCTTATTCACTTAGTTTAATATCATTTACTATAGAGAAAACATATTTTTACATACCATTTTTGGTTTATATGTTTTGACCCAGTCCTTTCCACAATCCTCTTCTTTGTAGTCGATTCCATTATCCGCAAATAAATATCTTAACGCTTGGCCACGTCCTAGAACGTAAACAGTGAATTAGAAACCGTGATAACCCGGGATAACCTGTCACGCGTCCACGCCCGTAATGAATATGATAAATGTCAAAATGAAGAAATTAGTATAAAAAATTGCAAAACAAATCGAACACAGTTATTCCATAATGAGCATGAATACATATTTGCTATTAATAACAGAAAAAAGAAGACATCGAAAGTCCTAGATCCCTCACCTGAATCCCATTGTTGAAGTTTCAAATTGTACATTTATTACTTTATTTTAAAATTTGTCCAGTGAAAAATTCATACTGTATGGGATATCAGGGCTATTTACCGGAGAGCAGAATATGTATACATAAAGTAATTAAAGTGTTTGTAAAACGCCAGACATGATAAAAGAATGAAGAACAGAGGAAATCGAAGCGAATGTAAAAAAATATGAAAACAAGAAAACATTAGGAATTAATTTATCCTATATTATGTGATAAAGGCAAAATGAATAATGAGACTGTGGAATCTGACACGTATGCAGATGTAAGCAAGACACACAGCATTGGACAAAAGCACGACTTTTATTTTAGGAATTTCGAATCCCGGTTAGAATCCCAGTCTGGTCCTGCAATATGGTAAAATCGTCGCTAAGATCTTAACATGTTTTCGGCCACTCTAGAAACAAATATTGATCTGGAATTGCAGATACGACGAAATTTAAAGGTCAGGCTTCTTTGCCCTGTTATCCCCTGTCCTGCGAAATGGGGTCGTGGTACTAGTGCGTTGCTCTACTGAAGAGCCCGGGGTTCGCACGCGACATGAATAACTATACCTGCTCAATGTTCTAAAATACATAGATATAAACATACCTCTAAGAGGAAAATAGATCAGGTGATAGTTCGACACTGAAAAGAAGACAATTACAAGATAATAGAATCTACATTTTGTAATAAATTTAAACATAGATATATAAAATTAATAACATCATGACTTGTAGTACAGACTGTCTTAAGGTTGCCTTTTTCTTTTGTCTGTTTTTAAATACTGTTTAATAGACGACTTAAAGATATGTATAACAATAACATGAATAATAATAATAATAATAATAATAATAAAATAATAATAATAATAATAATAATAATAATTAATAATAATAATAATAATAATAATAATTAATAATAATAATAATAATAATAATAATAATAATAAGTTGTACACTCAACACACAGAAATCTCTTCAATACGTTATCTAAAGTATGCAAGTACACAGCACAGGGACTTCTGCCATGTTTTTCTTTTCTCACTAGTATATGTTTGTATCATGATATAGATTAATGGTGGCTGATTTGTGCCATTCGTGTTTTTTTCGAAAATTAACACGTTAAAATGGCGGGGTGCGGAGCGGAAAAACGCTTATTAGCGAGGGAGTGGGGCAAAGTAAAATAAATAAAACTTCGTCCCGCGTGGCGCGAAGCGAGATTTAAGAAATAAAACGGTGGGGTCGCGGGACGAAAACACGATAATAAGCAGGGCGCGGTGCGAAGTTAAATGTATAAATTAAATAAAATTTTCTTTTTCTTTGTCTTCTTCTTTTCTTCTTCTTCTTCTTTTTCTTCTTCTCCTTTTATTTCTTAAACCTCACTTTGCGACCCAGCGGGGCGAAGTTTTATTAATTAATTATTTGAGTGAAATAATGATACAAAGTTCAAAAATTGACAAACCAAAATTTATTCTGTTTTGTAAATATAGTTCTACATGTAAGTCCTCTAAAAAAATGCAAACATAATCGGAGCATTATTTAGGCATTGACGAAGACCAATTAAAATTTCAAAAAAGTCTGTGAATGTGTTGCAATACTTAATACATGATTTAACAACAATATACATAGCCTGGAACATTTTTAAAATTTTTCCATCAAAACCCATGTTAAACAATTTGAACCATAAAGCGTTAAACAGAGTCAAATGCTTTCGTGAGATCTATGAAAGCGCATGGCAATCGCTTTTTTTTAGTTAAAACATGTTCTATCAAGTTATGTAAAAAAATACCGCGTCGACTGTACTACTATCCCTACGAAAGCCAAACTGTGCATCTGATAAAAAATTGTTTATCTGCCGTAGAGATAAACAAGGTTAGCTTTTAAAAAAGCTAGTAGCGACTCGCTTCGTAGTTTTTTTCAAGGGGTGTGTTTAAATGTAAAAATGACAGTTCTGTTAGCTGAAGAGACTTCAGCGAACATCAAAATAAAAGTGAAGTCAACACTGGCCCGGTGCCCGATGGCCAGTGTATATAAGTTCAGGCCAGTGTAAATTTAAGAAAATTTTGTTAATTATTTAGTAGAATAAATTCAAAACTGGAATTCGGGCCACTAAATTCAAAATCTTAAACTCATTGACTGAAAGTGACATATAAAGTTCTCTCAGTTTAACCAAGATGAGTATGAGTATATATGAAGGTGCATGTAAACAGATAGAATGAAGAACCTATGTCTTTGCACATTTACTATATGGCCTGTTGACCTTGACCACAAAATGTTAGATAGGTAGATTTCATAAAGATGTCTCTTTATACAAAATTAAGTTGTAATACATGTATGTTATTTAGTATTGGAATGAGAGGCACAAGTCCTAAAGTAAACACAAGTTGTCAATCAATTCAGCTAGAAAAGCCGGGATCCTATTAAAAAATATAGGGATCCCGGAAATTGACCAGTCTAAGAAGATGTTTTTCAGATAAGCCGGGATCCTATTAAAACATATAGGGATCCCGGGAATTGACCAGTTCAAGAATATAGTTTTCAGAAAAGCCGGGATCGTATTAAAATGTAAATAGATCTCACGGATTGGCCAGTTCAAGTATATAGTTTTCAGAAAAGCTGGGATCGTTTTAAAACATATAGGGATCCCGGGATTTGACCAATTCAAGAAAATAGTCTTTGATTTTTCCAATTAATTAGGCATATAATTATAAGTATTGTGATTTCCGCATTTTAAGTTTGTTAATAAATAGCTCTAAATATATCTATATTCTAAGTTAAATTAATTTAACGTTCATTATATAAAATAAAAAAAATTTACGTTTAATGGCCTTTCATTACGACAACAATCAACACAAATATAGTTCATTAGGTTTTTCCTCCATATCTTATACGATCCCGGATCCCGGGCGTCCCGGATCCCGGCCAGTAAATACATATACTAAATACCGGAAAGGATAAAATGACCGGAAAAAAGGAAAAATAAAAAATGCACAGAACCAGATGTACACTTATGTTAATTAACCAAACGAAAACTTACTACAGAGAAAACAGGTGAAATCGCTAAATCAGAAGTCAGTGTAAATATGATTTATTGAAAAGAATTCATGAAGACAAACATTTTAATCATCTTTGTATCTTTGCGCTCAAAACAATACTTGCTGATTTTTAAAAATGGCGTGAAAATTGAAGGTTTTTTGACGCTATGTAAGATTAAATTTGATTGGCTAAATAATTTTGGATCCTAGCCCTGATAGATAAATTTTGAAGAAAGCTGGAAGCCAAGCTTCGATTAAATTTTTGGATAGCTTCGGAGTTTTAGGTTGTTTCTCAGTAAAATCCTACCGTAATACCGGCTCGCCGTGGCGAGCCGGCAATATTCGTTTCACAAATTATCGCTTGGGCAAGATGATTTGTTACTTTTATTTTATAAGACGTGCTGACAGTACCTCATTACAAGTAATAGGAGTATTTAATTCCTAAATAAAACGGCGGGGTCGTGGGACGAAAACACGACTATTAGCGGGGGGCACGGGGCGAATTTAAATAAATAAAACCACTGCGGGTCGTGGGACGAAAACACGACTATTAGCGGGGGCGCGGGCGAATTTAAATAAATAAAACCACCGCAGGGTCGCGGGGCGAAAACAAGAATGGCACAAAGCAGCCGCCATATAAATTTAATAATATATATGTGGCGTAATAATTGAGCGAATATTCACTCTAATAAAGGTCAGCTATATATTTCCCTAGCGTATTTTGCATTCTAACATTTGCCTTATTAAAATTATAGTATCATTGAAAACTCTGTGTATGAAAACTTACTTGTTATCAACGTTATCCTGTATTTACACTGTGCTCAAAGTGTCTGAGTTGTCCCGTTTTAAATCTGGGTGTATGTGCAAGAAGTGCAGATTTATAAGGCCACACAAATTGAACAGTTTGTTATACATGTATTACAAATTCAATAGTCTGTAAAGTATTACACAGGCCGCTAAAGATTGAAATCTTTAAAGTTGCATTTCTCAAGATGATCCAAAATATTTCAAGAATATCAAACTTGAGAAAATACGTTATATTTTTATACCCCACAAAGTGGGAGCATATAGCGTTGCACTTGTCCGTCCGTCCGTCTGTCCGAGCAAACATTTTGGGTTTAGGGGCTATATAACAGTAAAGAGAACAAAAGAGAACAATAGGTTCGTTCCGTGATCAAAGGGTTTAGAAGCTAGTAGCCCTTAAGAAAACAAAGAAAATAACAAAGAAAATGGCGCCTAAAGCCAAAAGGTTTGGACGTCCGTCCGTCCGTCCGTCCGTCCGTACGTACGTCCCGAAATCTTGTGAACGCAACTCCTCTGGATGGCAGATTTTGCTTAAGCTTCCAGGGATGAACTGTGTAGATGGTAGTAAAGGAAGAAATTTTCGCTGCGACCAAATTTAACAGAAGTATGGCCCTTTATTGATTTTTTTCTATGGAAGCCTTGGAGGGTCATTTTTGAGTTTCGACTTATAGATTTATTTTACTTTTTTCTTATGACTTTTGATTTGTAACTTTTGATTTATGACTTTTGATTTTTGACTGGTGGATTTTGTTATTGTCCCACGTGCTTGCCTCATAATTTCCAAGGAAAATATGGCAGAATATGACAACGATTCAGACGAGGTAAGTTCCTTTACCTAAGTTTCCTGGAGACTTATTTAAAAAACAAAATATGTGGGCTCATATGCAAGAACAGAATGTTATTCTTATATAAGCCTTTTTAATTGATTAGGAAAAGAAAATACTTTGCTTGCATTGCATTGAATTGCATTGGGTATCCATTTTTTAATTTTGATTTCCGGAACAGGCATATATAATAGCGTATGAATCAAAGGCTTTATTTTTATATGGGTTCCAGTTTTAAATCCAAATAAGTCTCGCATTGTTGTTTGCTGCAGTTTCAATCGGTTTTCACCCGTAGTTCATTCTTCGTCCATCTTATATTGAATATAGACCAAATTATAGGCCTTATTTTGACAAAGAAATTTATAGTTAAGAAGTTTCATGAAAAATGGTATTTCGAAAACAATAAATCATACAGCTTTGAAACTTCACACACTTGTTTAGAAGACGCTCTAAGTTAGAAATCTTTGAACTTCATTGTTATCAAATTATGCCTCTTTTTCGACTTTGAATGTATGGTTTAGAATTTTCATGAAAAATGGTTTCTCAAAAACTATTTTAGCGATGTCAATGACCAAGTTTCGTATGAGTGGCTCACAATTTGACATACTTATGTCCATTTTTAAAGCTAAAATGTTTTGTCAGAAGGTTTCTGAAATATGGCCCCATAAACCAGTTATGATATGATATTGAAACTGTATGCACTTGTTCAGTAACAATAACTTAGGACACCTACCAAGTACAAAGAACATGTTATTTGTATATAAACTTTTGTATACAGTTATGTATTAAGGGATTTTTTCTATTTCATTTTGTATATATATGTATTTCATTTCAATTGAGATAACATACTTGAAATGTTTTCATTTTTAATTCTAGTAAAACTACCTGTAGGAATTAAGGACGTGCTGTCGAATGGTTTCATCTACAAAGCAGTTGCAAGAGCATCAGCATTACATATTTGTCAAGATTTCGGAGCCAGTTTAGAAGACTAAGAGTTTTCATTGCAAAACAGCGTTCGTTCCGAGTGGAAAGTAGTACAGTTTAGCAAATGCAAAATGTCCAAACACTGGTGATTTGGTTTTACTCGTTATTGTCTATGGAAATATTCAGACATTTTCGGAATACGAGTGTTACTGTTTCAGACGCTCGATAATTTTCAAGTTTTAACCCCACCACTTGGACGCTTTATTGGAAACACGGCCACGTTAATTTTATCCCGTCCATATCTCCAATATGGTATAAAACTTGTATCGATAGACAGGTCATGGTGAGACAGAGAAAAGTGTGAAAAATCATGAATTCATAATTCTGGCTTTCATAATTTTCAGTATTTGGCCATTGTAAATTTTAAAAACTTATATGAAAGGTACCGAAATCAAACTTTGCATGTTCATATAGCTTGGCGAGGCAGAAAGAAACATACTTCTTGCTATCATAGCTATCATACATTTTAGAAACTCCCCTTTGTTGTGTGTTGTTGTTTTTTTTGTTGTTTTTTGTGTCTTTTGTGTGTTTTTTTTTCATACTTAGAATTTGTTAAACTCATAATTATCTCAAAAACTGTTGAAGGCATCAACTTGAATTTACTGGCAGATATGTCTCGCCGAGACAGAGTGCATTGTGTTGTTTACAAAACTTTTGATTATAACATTTAATCGTTCTTCTAAGTTAAACATTCCCTTTCTCGACATGCTGTGGGTTGGGGGTATGCTCATTACGAAAGACTATGAGATTTCCATTACATATAAAGTCGGTCATTCTTCGAAAAAAAAACTTGTGGACGTTATATAATATATACATTATACAATGTATACAGTTTCTTAAAGTTAACTAGGACATTTTTAGCTAGAGACTGTGTTTGTTTTTTCTTTTTTCTCTCTTTTGAACATTTAGAAATGAAGAAATAACGCTCTGACAATGATTTTAAAAATCTTGACTTCAATAATAATACATACACTCTAGCGTTGCTAGTTTACCTAATTTATCTTATGTTTCCAAAAGCTTCGTTAGAACACTCATGATTTCTTAGTTTTTCACCAGTAACGTATCAACAATGTGTTGTTTTGTAGAAATATTGCATGTATATATGTCTTCTGTGACGTAAGTACTTGAAGTTTTTGTTGATGGCATGTGTTTATTTTTAGCTGTTCCTTAGTGTTAGCTTTTAAGTAAGGCATATGTGCTATTTTAGAAACAGTATATCTTATCTCTTTTTTTAAATTAAATACAATGAAGCTCAAATGCAGTTTGTTTTTGCATATCTAATACATTTGTTTTCTTATAAGACAACAATTTTGTTAACAAAATAAAGCACGTTTGTAGAATTAACAATGTTTGTTGTTATCTGTTTACACGCATTTATTCAAAAAAAAAATATTGATAAATCTGCCAACCTGTCACGGTCTAGACCGTGAGGTAAAAACCTTTGGTAGTGTGGTCTCTCGGTAGAGGTATATTTAGGTAGTCTGTTGAGGGAGTTGGCTGGTTCCACACAGTTTACTTCTATAGTGATTGCTATTCTATTTCTACTTTGCTCATTTCAACCACTTACTTAGCCTTTTAAAGGAACACTATCTCTACATAGATAAAAAAATTCTCTGTAACATATATATACTGTTTATTCCGGTGGTAAATTACAAGTTTATTTTGGTTATAACAAAGTTACAATAACACAATAATAAATTGTCAACAAATGAGGATTCTAATGCAAAAATGAGGCTGGTGGCTAAATGTACTTGTAAACATTATATGATTTCAACACCACTCTCGGCTGATGTGCTCCCTTGCGTTTGGTGATTGTATCACAAATTTGCTTATTTTGCATTAATCTAAAATCAAGTAAAACTAATGTTTATACCAAGGCAAATAGTAACAGCAAATGGCAAAAGTTATAAGTCAAAAGTCAAAAGATAAAAGTCATAAGTAAAAAGTGATAAATTATAAGTGAAAAGTCATAAGGCAAAACCTAAAAAAACGAGAAAATAACTCAGCATTTATAACAAAGATCAATTATTATTTTTGAAATAGCAATCATATATATTCCTTTTAAATACCATAATACATCCTATGAAGTATAGTTGCTATTTGTTGCGAATGAATAAGACGTTTGAATCAAATTACACGTATAACTTATATGTCACGGTACGAATCTATTCAGTATATGACGTGCACTCTCGGTCGGGACAGAACTAGCCCTGTAAGGGGGTCTGGGTTCAAATCCCGGTATGGCTGCATATCTTTCTCCCCCTGAGACATATGGCATAGTGGAAAGTGTCCCTGCCAGTCACGCGGGAGACCGAGATTCTAATTCTAGTCGGGCAGCCTTTTTGTAACCAGGGCTTGATAGAAGAGATACAACCAGAAGTCGATTCATATAGTGCAGTTAATCTTGTAATACGTATACCAAAAACAAAAAGAAATACTGATGTATTTTACGTAAAAAGTCACAAAATTGCACATACATATATTGTGATGTAAAAACTTTAAAAATTAATATATACAGACTGCTGAGTTGGAAATCTTCGAAAAGGACCATTAACTTGTACAATAAATGTATTTAGATTTGATTTTTTTAAAAACTTTAGGAAGATTCCCACTACACGTATGCTTTTCGTGAAAAATTACATGCAAAGACTGTTAAGAAATGACCCGTTAAGGTATGACCATTCTAATGCACTACCTCCATTTCAAGAGTATTTACATTAGTTGCATGAAATCAGATGGTTGTGGGTTCGAATCCCATAGGAGCCAACATTTCTTTCTTCATTTTTTTTCTTCAGTATTTTTGTATTTTTCTAGCTATATTTAGATGGAAGAATGTGCTCGTTTTCTATTATTATCTTTTTTTACAGATATTCATTGCCTAATTAATGCTAAATCTAAGAGCAAATACGACATATAACATTTTCAATGCTTTATATATCACAAACTAGCCGGTAAAAGCCTTCCATATTTCACAGAATGAATCAGTATACTTCTAGAAAGATTTTAGCAAACTTTGATACAAGCCCTTTGACTAAATAAACTTTTAGTGTGTTTTTTTAATTAAGAATGATATGATAGAAAATGTTCAAATGGGTGGGGTAAAGAAACATTTCCATGCATATTTCTATCGTGTCGAGAAAAGTCATGCATTTGACATGGATAGTTCATTACTAGAATGTTATTATTTGCATCTAAACAAACAACACTTGCAAAACATGATTTTACGTTATATATTAGATATATAGATATAATATATAATATAGATATATTATCAAACAT